GGGGGGGGGGGGGGGGGGGGGGGGGGGGGGGGGGGGGGGGGGGGGGGGGGGGGGGGGGGGGTGACACCACCAGTTTTAGTGAGGTAGTCGGTAAAACGCGAAGTTACTCGGTAATGGCAAGAGCCATGACAGCGGTCGGTAAAACCACAGGTAAAACAAATCGGTTAAAGTGGAATTTTGCTCCTTGGTAAATGGCTTTTAATAATCAGACAATAAAATTAGATGAATGCTGTGCCTTGTATTACACTTGCAAGAGCTGCGAAAACAGTCGTTTCTGATTGGACATGTTCAACTGTGCGCGAACTTTTGACCTTGATACAATGATACGCCAGAGAATTAAAGATTATATTTATATATTTATTATTGACACGCGGTGCTCATAAAATGTTTCGTCAATTTTTCAAGTCTGTTTATTACAATAAACAACAAGATAAATGTGATTGAGCAAAATGACTTATCGCGAAGTAACAAAGACAACAATTATTCCAATTAATTAATAAAGCATTTGCTGCGCTTCTGGTTTTACGTTATTTCTAGACGGCAGACTAAAGTCGCGGTAAGTGTCATTAAACAAGACGCTCCACGGAGCGTAAAGTCGCTGCGACGATGGAAATATACAATTTTAAGCACAAGTGATACCACTTAAGAACAGCGTGTTTGTTTTTCCGAAAACATTGAATCTTGAAGTTTGCAGTTTGCCTGGCAGTTAGCGCTAATAGTTAAAACAAGTACAACCATGTAGCAATGTTGTTTTAATAGTCATATAGTATACAGTATCTATCGTGTTAAAATTATAAGCGTTTATCCTGTTGTCATTACACAGATCGGCTGGTGTAATGTTACCAACTGGTGCGTCGAAGGCTGGAAGGCAAGAATATTCTTCCCTTCGAAACTAAACACATTATAACGTCTGTGTAATACAATAATGCCTCGTGAGAGGAGATTACCAAGCGACTGTATTATGTATAGCAATAACGCTTTAGTCATATCTACTAATCTACATACCAGTGCGCACTGTGCAGTATAGAGGAGGCCATCTGCATGGAATAATAATATATGTTATTGGGCCAAGAAAGATTCTATGTTACTTCCACACGATATCAGGAAATTGAGTTCCTCCTTTTCAGCTTTTGGTAATACATTTTGTCCCAATGAACCTTAATCCTTCAATGCTATTTAATAGGAATATGATGTAGACTCAGAAGAAGCAGGCGATGTCTGACTTTAAGTTTAATTTATGTAGATCCAAAAGACCAAAATATTATTACTGACTGGAAAGTTTGGAAATTGCGCTACGGAGATTTCGAAAATTCAATAGTAAATATATAGAAAGCATGCATCAACATTTGCGAGACCGATGTCTCCGCCGCGCGATACAAATATATGAAATTATGTACAAATTATCTACTTCCCTGCTCGATAACATAACAGTGAAAACGTCGTGATAACTTTTAGTGAATTCTTAATATATTTATTTGAAAAACCCCAAATGAAAAGACACGACTGGACCAAATAGTCGATAGCGAACTTTTGCACGCTATTCCATGGTCGCCATTTTGATTTTTATTTCGTAAGTATTACGTAATTAAAATGACGTAATTTGTCACAGGGGATTGCCAAATGCCTCTGGCCAAATGCGGTGTAACAAAAATCAGTGCCAGTGGCACAATTTTGGGGAATTGATGTTGACATATTAACACATTGGAAGGCTTGCATAGTAATGTTTTGCTTTTGACATACTCCTGCGAGTAGCTAAATCTACCCTAGACAAAAATTAATAACTAAAATCTGTCTCAGCGCTAATGTCTTGTCTGTAAACCACTCGTTACAAGATTGCTGCCATCATAGCAGACTCAACGTGATCGATGGTGGCAAGGGTAAAATATATCCTCGGAACATATTCGACCTCACTATCGGCAAATGACACGAAAAATAACTAGACTTCAACCCATCAAAAGTAACTTCAACCAATCAAAAAGAACGCCGGAAAAGCACATCCCATGTTGAAGGCAATGAAGGTGTCGCGGCAACCGCGCCTAAAATGCTAAATACCGACTGTGAAGTAATTCGAGCGTTGTGCGGATTAGCAATTCAAATGCTCTATTAAATGGCACACAGTACTGATATCCCTCAATACAACAATTTCCCATTACTGTACCGTTATAGCTCTCACTGTACTCAAAAAGATAGTTTGTGTCAAATACTGTGAGTTCTGAAGGCAATTCTGTAAACATCAAAAATGATTGCCCTGCAGAATGTGACAAATTTGAATATAGTTCATTTCCGATATTCATGATTTGAACCAGGTCTTGAGATGAACAGATGCCCTGTCTTTTGCTGTATATAAGAGCACACAAACACATTGCTAAACATTGCTGTCCTGCTGATTCACCAAATAGCATAAGATTACCTTGGCTATATGGGGCACATATTGTCTTGCCAGGATCAATAAAAACAGGACCAGGATTTGTCTCAATATCAGTATATAATGCAGACTGGCTGACACTCTTTAAGTGATTAGAATTTTTGTATTCCTGTTTTGCATGTATATCACGAGTAAAACCTGACAAGTAGAAAATATCTGCAAGTATAACCACGTGTTTGTTCACGGCAAGGCAACTTTGTCCAGAGTTTACGTTTGTTTGCGAGTTTGTCTGCGTTTTATTCGTCATTGTTATAGTATTTATATCACATTTCTGATCACGTTTTGTGCAAGACTTTTGGTAAGGTTTTTGGTAAGGTTTTTGGTAAGATTTTTGGTAAGATTTTGGTAGGTACCCGAAGGTATATTTGCATTTTTTGTACCCGAAGGTATGTTTGTATTCATGAATCATAGACCCAGTTCGAAATCGCTCAGCATCTTTTAGTGTAGGTCTATCACGAATATGTGTACATTCATGTGAGATGAGCGTATCTGAAGATAAAATACATTCAGTACATGTACTTACCCTGTGAAACATCTATCAGGCTTTAATCTTGAATCCTTGAAAACTATACAAAAACATTCACGATATTTTGTCCTTTCACTCCTTGAGCAGAGAATCTTGAGTCCTTGTCGCAAATGTTTCCACTTAAATATACTCAATTTTCTTCAATTTTCCAACATAACTAAATTGAACTAAATATAGTTCTATAATTCAATGTCGTTGTTTCACATGTTTCCACTTCAATATACTCAAATTTCCTTAAAATCGTGACGTGTCATAATGGAAATTTGTGTACAATGGAGATCTGCGATCCGCGAAAAAAAATGCGTGCCGAAACCTAGAGTCGGTGGGCACCACAGGTGGCCCCACCGACTAACAAGTAATCATACGATGTTTCTCGTACAATTAGGGATTAATAGTACTCGTGATGTTTGGAAATATTGCCAAATTGCACTCGCCCCGGCGGCTCGTCCAACTTTGGCAAAATTTCCAAACATCACTCGTACTATTAATCCCTAATTGTACTCGCCATCGCATGATTACCTATACTAATTAATCAATTATTATTAAATGCAAATGCATGATCGATCTTCTTGAAATAGTCAGTTCACTTCCTTATAGTTATACATTGCCTTATTCATTTCATATCATGAGGAACCTCACTAGGTGCGAAAAAATTAAGGGTGAAGTGTCTGTTGCCATAGAAGTTGTAATTAGGTTTGACAGACACCAATTATAGGCTATTAATAAGAGGAGAAGACACTTTGTAATGCAATACATCGCTTGGTGTAACTGTTAAATATTAAGACATGTATTTAAGTTATTAACGTACAATGTAGCTGGCTTGGCGAATGCATGACAAAAGATGCGGTAATGTATTACCGTGTATATTCGCATTGTTTGGATCGAGCCAGATAGAAATTGGTACGCTTATAATTACTGCTTGCCCGGTTCAAGCATATCAAATAGGTATAATGGCAATAAATATATATTGCGATGTTTCCCGTACGAATTCAAGCGGGTCAATATAAAAGACCTAAGCTTCATGAGGATTACAATGGTAATCCGGTGCCATACCGTTGGTTTAATGCTGGACAGAAAATCGCCGAAGCTTACGTTGTCTCGTCATGCGGTATCTTAACATTCGCGATGAGAAAGCGCAGTTAGCGCACACTTGACGGTGCGTGGCTACAGTCCAGCGTATTCCAGCATATACGCCAAGTGGTCAACTCGTTCCCGCTTGAAGATTCAAATTGGCGCAAACACGCAAGAACAGATTGAAAGACGAACCAAAAACGTATACAAAGTTTTGAAACGGCTTAATTTTCGCTTATACGAACGCGAATGGTCTTCACCTTACTGAGAGTGTTCAGAGTGATGTATATTGGTATGATTAAACAATTTTCATAGTTCTGGAAAACGTACAGTAAGTAAATAATTACATGCAGTAACTCATGCCAAAAGGAGTCAAGACGGGTAGGTTTATGTCAGTCTCTGCAACTCAATCTCGATGTTTTGCAAAGTACATGGCTCAAAATATTGGCCGAAAGCTCTCGAATCCACTTACATGATACTGTATTAAATAATCTAAATTCCAATGGAATTTGAGTTGCTAACATAATGTTGCGATAAATACAATGTGACATTGCTTTGCTATTAATGCACAATCTACTGCACGACCTTGCGTGATTGCAAATATATTTATTTGTTCCAAATACTTTTAAGCTGATATAGGCCTACTCTTGTGTCAGAAAGATGTACATGTGTCATCTTATGCTGGCAGATTTTGAAGATGTTTCATCTTACCTTAATCAGTTGAAGCTTAAAATTATTTGCATATATATAGGCATACTGTATGGAACTAAAATTTCTAAATTCCAATGGAATTTGAGTTGCTAACATAATGTTGCGATAAATAAAATATGACATTGCTTTGCTATAATGCACAATCTACTGCATGATCTTGCATGATGACAATTAAGTTTATTTGTTCCAAATACTTTTAAGCTGATATACTCTTGTGTCATAAAGATGCGTCATCTTATGCTGACAGATTTTGAAGATGCTTCATCTTACCTTAATCAGTAATTGAAGTTAAAAGTATTTGAAGTAAATAGGCATATGGAACTACGGTTTCTAAATTGAAATGGAATTTGAGTTGCTAACAGCCTAACATAATGTTGCGATAAATACAATATGACATTGCTTTGCTGTAATGCACAATCTACTGCATGATCTTGCATGATGACAAATTTATTTGTTCCAAATACTTTTAAGCTGATATACTCTTGTGTCAGAAAGATGCGTCATCTTATGCTGACAGATTTTGAAGATGCTTCATCTTACCTTAATCAGTAATTGAAGCTTAAAAGTATTTGAAGTAAATAGGCATATGGAACTACGGTTTCTAAATTGAAATGGAATTTGAGTTGCCAACAGCCTAACATAATGTTGCGATAAATACAATATGACATTGCTTTGCTATTATGCACAATCTACTGCGTGATCTTGCATGATGACAAATTTATTTGTTTCAACTACTTATAATTTAAGCTGATATACTCTTGTGTCAGAAAGATGCGTCATCTTATGCTGACAGATTTTGAAGATGCTTCATCTTACCTTAATCAGTAATTGAAGCTTAAAAGTATTTGAATAAATAGGCATATGGAACTACGGTTTCTAAATTGAAGTGGAATTTGAGTTGCTAACATAATGTTGCGATAAATACAATATGATATTGCTTTGCTCTAATGCACAATCTACTGCATGATCTTGCATGATGACAAGTTTATTTGTTCCAAATACTTTTAAGCTGATATACTCTTGTGTCAGAAAGATGCGTCATCTTATGCTGACAGATTTTGAAGATGCTTCATCCTACCTTAATCAGTAATTGAAGCTTAAAAGTATTTGAATAAATAGGCATATGGAACTACGGTTTCTAAATTGAAGTGGAATTTGAGTTGCTAACATAATGTTGCGATAAATAAATACAATATGACATTGCTTTGCTCTAATGCACAATCTACTGCATGATCTTGCATGATGACAAGTTTATTTGTTCCAAATACTTTTAAGCTGATATACTCTTGTGTCAGAAAGATGCGTCATCTTATGCTGACAGATTTTGAAGATGCTTCATCTTACCTTAATCAGTAATTGAAGCTTAAAAGTATTTGAAGTAAATAGGCATATGGAAAAGCATGCGCATATTGCATCTGAAATAATAGAAGGCAAGTCAAAACAGTCACCAGCAAGCGATGCCGATGTTTATGCTTTAGAGAGAGTTGTTTTAAATTAAAGGTTGGGGAGTTTTGTAAGTGCGAACAGATTATCGTGCTAAGCAAATCATGTCTCAACGATATAGTGAAATACTGAAAAAAACAGTTACTGAGCCACCATCACAGAACGCACAACTTTATCTGATATATAGGCACATGGTAAACATTTGATACATGTAGAACAGAATAATTCATAGATCTTTGACTTTGTTACAATATGTCATTCTGGGTACCATATGCTGCTACGCGTTGAGGCCATCAGAAGGCGAAAAAGCGCAACATTTACACTTGTTATTGCTTCCCGCAAATAAATGTCATACAATAAATCAGAAGTTGTTATCACTCAGAAGATCCAAAACACCTTCAATCTGTACCTTTAATCAATAACAATATTAACAAGACGCCTGCTCAGGCGTTCACACTGGCCTGAAAATAACGAGATACGTGCTATGGTGCAAAAGGCAGGAATACAAATCTTAAACCGCAAGCAAATTTTATGGACTTCCGGTTTTTCCTAACAGCGCGTTGTTTTCATGTGCGTTCCATGGCCGCGCTAAAAATATAAATATTCTGTAAATACCGAAATAAAAGATGAAAATCTCAAGACACAAGCTTGAAAATAACACTATAAATTGTGTTTTCGATTCTGGTTCCAATAACATTATCACGAAAAAGATATGTCCAAAGGGGCCGAAGTTATGTTCGGCAAAATGTATGGCTAGTTTACATTGTTTGTTGTATTATGAAATATGATACCATACTTGTATTAAAATTCGCGTCGAACTAATGTTATTGTAAATGAGTAGACTTGCCACAAGTCGACATCGAACGATTTGTGGCAAGTCTAGCAAATGAGAACCATACAAATGATACAATAATGGTTCTAGTTCTTGTTGGTACTTTGAACGCAAGCTTTATCTTTAGTATAGCTACCACAAAGCTTTTCGTGCCGATTATATTTCGTTCGTTCGATGTCGACTTGTGGCAAGTCTAGCAAATGAGAACCATACAAATGATACAATAATGGTTCTTGTTGGTACTTTGAACGCACGCTTTATCTTTAGTATAGCTACCACAAAGCTTTTCGTGCCGATTATATTTCGTGGAGTACTAAGTGTTATATTTTGCATGTGGTTTTCGAGTCATTACACAGAGAAAAACACATTAATTCAACACACAAGAAAGTCCAGAGTACGACACAACGTAAAATACAAAGGAAATCGGCACAATTCTTTGAAAATTCAACGAAACTGTGTAAAATATAATTTGATCAATCTGTGAAAAGCCGCCATTGCAGTTCGGAATTGTACGCGTGCGTACAAGTGTATAGGCTAATAAACGAAAAATGTACCACAAGCATGGCATGAGTCGGCTATTACGTACATATATACGAGCTTATTACTATACTATCTAAACCACGGAACCGAGGGAATCCATGGCATTTTGGCTTAATCGTTTGACCCTGACCCTGAGAGAATGCTTGGACGAAGAAGATCCGAGGACATGGAAGACTATTTGTCTGAAGTGTAACACTAGTCGTTACTTACGTTCTGAACTAACTTGTTGTTTTTAGTCTCCTGTCCATGTACTGTATGTTATATATTCTGTACTGTATGTGTATTTTTGTATAGGGCCCACAGTAATTGGTTTACACTGTTGTGGTGTCCCTGCCATTTTTGTCCATGTTTATTGTGTAGATATCT